GGGATTAACACCAAACAAACAAGCAAAAAACAACATCCTAATCAAGGAACTACCAAGGAGAAAACCACCCCCCCATCAACACTGGCAAGGCAAGCTACTGTATATAAACAGGGAGCAAACCCACACTCACTAGCACTGATGATGTTACCTAGACGAGTAATGAAATGTCTGCAAGCAAACAACCAAGCTCAGAGAGCACTAAGGACTCTACGCTTTCTTGCATTGTTAGAGAAATTGTACCTGAGGTTCAACTCCCATTCTTAGCCATTAGCTTTATTAGATATACCAGTGGCACAACTGTATCTTAGATTTAATTTTTGGCATATGTACCAAAACATTGGCCATCACCAATATAGCAGAGAATTCCCAGTACCCACAGAAATCTATTTTCTTTGGACAGAACATATCTATCTGTATTTAAGCTGGTTGAAAATTGTATTATGAATATACTTATTTTGTATACATTTAATCTTTGACTTAATTGCCAGCAGCTCTGGTTTGGACATTTAATTGTCACTGACCCTTGAAGTTGGCTGGGAAGATGAAATCAGGCCTAACTGAAAGGTACCAGATGGGGGAAAGTGAGTCTACCTCCATGTCTAATGAGGACAACACTCAATACATCTATGAAAGTAGACTCCATGAACATTGATAACAAAGTCAATTCAAGTGCCCATGAAACATTTTGTTAGGTTTTCTTTACTACCCAAAATGCCTGTGATTATATAATGTGGATATATCTTTAAACAGACATCACTGAAGATTCAGAACTGGAACACTGATCTTTATGACTCCATTCAGATCATATATGCAGCATCTGAGGTATGTGCTGTGGTCTGCCATACACTCTGCTCTTCTAGATGCCTAGTAAACTACTTTTTGTGGCTATTCATGTTCTGATATTTGTTCAAAGAAACAGTAAGCAAATCTTCCTTCTCCTCCTCTTCCTCCTCCTCAACTCTTTACCATTTTTCCTAAAAGTTGAGGTCAGTTTAGATTAAATTGCGTTACAATCCAGGCTCACAATTAAGGTCTGGGAAGCAACAATTGCCCAGGTTGATCTCCAGGCTGGGAGAGCTTATTTAGTTGGAAACAGCAAAATGGAGCCATTATAATTCGCCTTCTGGTTCCTCCAGGCTTATTACAGACAGCCCAGGAAGTTCTTTCCATCACCAAAGATTCTTTCCTCCCACTCCTTGGCCCACTTGGCTTCTCAAGATGTTTCAACTGATCTCAACAGCAGGCACCAAACAAGTTCTGTCTGCAGCTGCTGCTCAGATCCCTGAGGAAAAAAATGGTGGCCTAAGCATGAAGTCCAAGCCCCTGCTTAATTTCCACACACCCAAGGTCATCTAGGCCAACCTCTTGCCAACGTAGGAAACCAATTATTACAGCATGTCAGATAGATGGCCATCTGACTTCTGCTTAGAAGCCTTTAGAGAACAAGAATCTGCCATTTTCAGGGCAATAGTGTTGATCTCTCCCAGAATCCCATCATTGACAATGTTCCTACAAGTAACTTGAACCATTCACCCCTTTTTTTTGAGCATCCTTCTCCAACATTTCACAGCGTATCATCATCAATACCCTCTTCCCTTCAAGGTTTCTTACCATAACAATGATCCAACAGGGGATTGGACATGTTTGGCACATAGCCTTCAGGGGGACTGTAGTTTTGGCAAACAACAAAGGCTTCTGAAAATGAAAAGGAAGTTAAAGCTTTGGACACCTCTGCCTCAGTCCTCTGCAATTCCCTCAATTAAGTCACAAAAGAGGGCAAACGCCCTACCTCTACCCGCTGAAAATAAGGCTTCATTCACTCTGCATTGAAGCAGTACATGTACATTCAAAGACCCAACTCTCATTGGATAGTACAGTGGCCAAGAAAGAGTACAAAGCAAATTGGGCTCTGTTGGAAATTGTTCCTGTCGAATTTTTCAGAATGAATAGGCTGACTGGAGGTACAGCAGAACAGAGAATCTGGCTGCTGTTGCAATGCATATGAGGCTCACTAATAGCAGCCCATCCATAGGCAACCCCCTTCATTTCTATGGGTTATCCTCTTAATTCAGATCCTTTGGCACTTGGGAATTAGCCAAGGAGTGAGACTACAGTGAGACTATTTACAGTAGACCTGGGAGACTACAGATGTGATGGTAACACTAAATGGTGACTCTATACTTATATGTAAAAGTTAATTTAAAACATTATACATCTGAGAAATATACTGGAGCTATCACAAGTAAAGTTTTGTGGGGTTTTGTTGCACTGAACCAGACAAAACTTGCACCAAAGTCACTAAACTAAATCCAGAAAAAGCTATTCAGAAAAGAAGGAATACATATACCAATTAGGCCTCAAAAGAATAATTATATATTTCGCATTCAGAATTGAATGCCAATATAATTTTTTTGCATCTAAGTTCTCAGTATGTATGCTTTATTCAACACCCACAAAATACTTTGCTTTTTTTATTTTATAAGAACAAAGAGGCATCAAAAATATGGCCATCTTATGGGTACTATGAATATGTGATTACGAGAAAATTCACAAATTATTCACAGCACCAAGTTGACATCCTCCAGGCAATGGAAGCTTTCTAGAATTGCTCAGTCTTTCAACTATTTGCCTGGAAATAGGTGGATTTTTGTTTATTTTTAGATGAAAACAAGGATTTTAGTGATTCTATTAAAGCTTTCCAACTCGGTCAGATTTGATGCATGATTCCCCATGAACAGAAAATGGCCAATAACATTTTTGTTGAAAATGAACATGGAAGATTATTATTTTAAAGACTGTATGATTAATTGGGCAAAAATTTTTTGGATATAATATAATGTAGGATCAATGGGAGAACAAGTGGAATAAAGAACTGAAGTTTACACTTAATTATAATTTAAAAGAATTTTTATATGATGATGTATCGTTGATATTTAACACCTGATAAATTGTCTAAGATGTACTGTATAAGGGAATGTCAAATGTATGTTGGAAATGTAATCAATGTGAAGGTACTTTTTATCATCTTTGGTGGACTTGTAAGAACTCTAAGAAATATTGGGATTTGATATGTACTTCAATTCAGAGAATTTTAAAAATGGATATACAATTGAAACCAGAGGTCTTCCTTTTAGGTATGGTTGATACAGATAGAAAGAAAACATGGGACTTTGTTCCTTTATATGATAACACCAGTGAGACTCTTACATGTGCAGAAATGGAAGGACCCACAAATACATACAATTGAAGAATGGATGGTGAAGTTGATGGAGTTGGCAGAGATGGTGAAACTGACTATTTTAATTAAAGAAAAGACTTCGACTAACTTTGTTTCTACTTGAAACTGCTTTTGGACTTTTTGCTTGAAACTGAAAGAAATGAAACTTTAATTTTGGGATTTAATGATTAATACTGTTTATGATTATAGAAACACTCTGTATTAGTTTAAATTGTAGAGTAAGAGGTGAATGTATTATATATTTGTACCTGTACCGAAGAAAGTCAGAAGTGACCTTTTTCTTTCTTTCTTTTTCTTTTATTTTTTTCCTTTCTGCACTTTAAATTTTGTTCTTTCTCTGATCTTTTTTTCCTTCTATTCTTTTTTTCTGTTTCCTTATATCTTTTGTTGAAATGTAATAAAGCTCTTAATTAAAGAAAAAAACCGAAAATGCCCAATAACAGGCATGCAAGAAACTGCCTACTCACCAATGCTAGAGTTGCGGCTACTTCGGGGTTTGGCACATGTCACATCAGGGAAGAATATCCTCAACTGGGAATAGAGGAGAGTGACATCCTTTCCTCGGAATATCTGAGGTGGGGGAACAAAATGCTAAATCATGCCTGGATTAGCTGCATTGTTACACTCTCACTGAAGCTGCAGAAACTGAATGAGAAGCAAGGAGTTCTCAATGAATCCAGAAGCATCACAGGCACAGGGAGAAATCCAGGACACCCCAGAAGAAACTCAACTTCTCACCTGGGTGCAGTAACTTAGTTACTACTAGCAGTAATCCCAATCTGGAGACCTATGAGTCCAAGATCACCAACCCATTACTGACAATGGAGGCTACAAAACACAGTACTGACACTTTCAGAGATCTTCATCCAACAACTGTGGGGCAGAACTTAGAAGTGATACAGATGCAGCCCTCTGGATACTGCTGACCAACAGCTCCCAGCAGCCCCAGCCAGCATGGTCAACTGAGTTTGCGCACGATCTGAAGTCCTATCAAAGTTACTTTACTGGCCAAGGTTTTGAAGCACCTGCTGTTTCCCAGACCATTGCTGAAATAGGTGAAATCCACCTTGATTAGATTGACATCTTATCAGATTCATGACCCGCATTTGCCCACTGAATCCCACCACATTTGCTCCAGCACTGAATATAGGTAGTCCTCGACTTATGACCACAATTGGGACCAGAATTTCTGTTGCGAAGTCACGCGGTCGAAAAGTGAGACATCATGTGACTGCATCATTTAGTGACAGCAATCCCAGTACTCCCCACTGCTGTCAATAAGCAAATTCCACCAGTCATTAGCCAAGGACCCAGCCCAATCCAAGTCATTCCAGATTTGTCCTTCCCAGCCCCGAGCCTCAGTAAAGTAAGGTACTGCCTCCAACCCGCCCCCCACTCACCTATCTCCTCCCCTTTCTGCCCTTTTGGCTGCCTTGCATTCTGCCTTGCAGGGCAGCAATCAGCTCCAGAACCACGCGGCTCTGGAGCTGCTTGACACACCCTGGGAAGCTGCAGCTGCCCCTGCCCAGTCCCAGTTGCCCTCATCGCCCTGCACTCCAAGGCCCCTGCCACCCTGCACTCTGCCATCCCGGCTGACCTTCACCATCTTCTTGCTCCTGCTGCTGACGAGGTGTGCCCACCCTGGTTCTTTGTGAGGCAGCTGCTGCCCATGTGAGGCCATCTTCCCCAGGTCTTGCAAGGAAATTGCTGTGTGCGACTTGGGGAAGAAGGCTTCACTTGGTCAGCAGCGGGAGCAAGATGGTGAAGGTAAGCTGGGGCAACAGAGCGCAGGGCAGCAGGGGGCCAAAAGGGCATAGACACGGGAGGAGATATGGGGTGGGGGGAGTTGAAGCACTCCTGCTGTCATAAGTGCAGGTGGGCTGCCAAATGCCCAAATTTTGATTACATGACCTCAGGGGCATTGCAATGGCTATAACTACAGGGACCAGTCATAAGTCCCTTTGTTCAGCATTGCCATAACTTCAAACAGTCGCTGAACGAATGGTCGTAAGTCGAGGACTATCTGCAAATTAATAGCTTAAGGCGAGAACTGGTGTTGGAAAACTTCTGTAAGGTGATCACGTTGGTGTGCTGCTGGGTACAAGCAGCCTTGAATAGGTGATACTTAGAAGTGCTTTGCTGTACCCATTGATTCTTCACTGATCATCTGCACAACTCACCTTAGCTACAAAAGTCCCCCCCTTCTTTAGGACATGCGTAGTGATGTTCAAGGCCTGGAAAAAAGAGGAAAAAAGAACATCAGTGGGGTGGCTAATTAAGATGAAGTATTTTTAAGAACTAAGATCTGCTGGTGTTACTGTGGCAAGACAAATGAAATATAGAACCAACACTACCCCGCAGTGCTTCGGAAAGGAAGAGGAAGGATTTAGGAAAAAAGGTCTTATTATCCTCTATTTTTTCCCTCCTATTAACAAGAAATTACTTGTCAAGGAAATGGAAAGGGATTGCCTAGAGTACCCATTCTCCTTCACAATAAGCACTGCTTACCATCCCTATGGAGACCAAATTCTGCAGATGGGGGCTTCCCTGGCTATCTCCATCTCCATCCATCTATCTATAAAAACATCCTTTCACAAAGAAAATAGCATATCTCTGAGAAGACCAAGCTAGAACTATCTTCCTAGCCTCAAGCTTTCTATGCAAGGCATTTTAAGTTTTTGTATACGATTGGTTGAGTCTTCAACTTCAGTGTAAAATGGCATACTGTATTGGAGATGCTGGTTTACCACTTTGCTGAAACCTTTTTTTTAATTGGTGGGAAATAAGGCGTATTTCTCCCTCAATCCCAGAAGCCCAGGTAGGCACTGGGATGGTGGTAATAGTTTAATCAGTAATGTGGGGCCAGTTCACTATTGGGCATAGCCTGCTTGCCTGCTCTCATTCTTCCCTCAACATTGGAGCTGGATCTCTATGATTCACACAGTGAGTAAAAACCATGATTAAGTCACACAGATAGTGATATCATTACATAAATGAGATGGATTATGTAATTTACACCAGTCACATCATGATGAAAAGGACATACAGTATATACTATATAAAATTTGCACAACGCTATCATGACATTTGTGGCACTGCTTGCGAGCCCTCTCTCTCTCCCTAGTAGGTGCACACAATCTCTGAGGTAAGACTCCCTAATCTACTGTCTTCACTCAGTCTGGGCAACTTGCCACAGAGAGGAGCCACCAGATAACCCCCCCATAGCATCTCATGAGGTTTACTTTGGTCATCAGACATGGGAATAAAAGTACAGTAGAAGACACCTACAGCAAGCAACAGCTGGGCCTGAATGTACTCATCTATATCATGGAGTCCGGTCACTGCAAGAACAAAGGAAACATTCATTAAGGCTAACAAATACAGTTTTCCCGCCAAGAAAACTAATGTCAGCCTGCCAAAGTTACCAATCCCTGATCAGATTGGGTTCAGGCCTACCATCAGGGGCTCCATCACACACAACCAAGTCAGCTGGCTGCCCCTCAAAATGGCGAATGATTTCCTGAGCTGTTGAAACCTGGAAAGAGAAGAGGAGGGCAAGAGGAACAATGGGGAGGTTTTTTTTAAAAAAATAGCACTCATATTCTGCCCTGGACTAGGATGGGAGAACATGGAGGTTACTTCCTCTATGGTTTCATTAGACAACACATACCTTGGTGATGTCCCCTTGGATCTGAATGACTCCTGGCAATGGAGCCATGGCTTGCAAATCTACAGCCACTATTTTGATATCTGCATTTTTAGGATCTTCTCCTCTGGAGGGAAAGAAAGAGGAGAAAGTAGGAGGATGTTGCTTTCTCCAGAGGCCATAACCCACCACCACACTGGAGGCAAGTTGTTTGCTTACTTGAGCTTTCGGCTCAGAACCTGACTCCAACTCCCAGGTGCTGCGCAGAGATCCACAGCCCGGGAGACACCTGGAAAGGGTAAAAGAAGAAGAAATAATTGCATTATTGCAATATAACCGACAGGAGGAGAACCATAAAACAGAGCTTCTGGTGTTTACTCTTAAAAGTGACACAAAGTAAGCTTTGTCAAAAGGGTCCATTCCATAGATCTTACCTCTGCCTCCCAAATATCATTAATTTTTCTGTGAACAAGCAGCATTCTGCACAGGTTCAGTGGTAATATTTCTTTCCTAGCTAGCTTGCTTATTTCAAGGCAATCATCACAGCTAATATATGAGATTGGAGGCACAAGCTCCTAAACCTTGAAACAGAAGGACTGATTGATCAGCTATATATATTCTGTCCTCTGTACCAATCTTCACTCCATGAAATTAGGATCAACATGGGGGAAAGACATTCATCCTTTAATGGAAGGTATCAAAGCAAAACACTAACGATTATAGTGTTAGGTAAAAGTGTGGAAATTCAGGTTCAAATCCCCACCTGACCATTCCTGGATGACTTTGGGTCAGTTACTATCTCTCAGTCCAGCCTACCTCCAGGACTATTGTGAAGATAATATGGAAGAGATAATGTACATCCCTTACGTTCTTGGAAGGAAGGTAAGAGCTAAAAGTAAATAAAACTCTTTCACAGGTTCCTGGGATACACCATGGCTCTAAAAATGTGTCTGTGGCCTCAGTGCTCCTGCAAATCTTCCGGTGCAGCCCCTTCAAAACTCCGGTCGTGGATAGCAATTATAGTACGATACATCTGGACAATATGCTGCTTTAACAAAGCAATAAATATATGTCGGTGACCAACTCATGGTGTAATTTGCAAGCATATTTTCTCACCTACCTTGAAACAAGTGATATTCCTCATCCAGCTGCAGAAGTTTGAATGCACTACGAGCTCGCCACCCTTCTTCCTTGGCCAAACGGTAGTAAATGTCACGTTTGTCTTTGGAGGAGCGTCCCATCTTCACTTGTGAACGTGATGCCCGCGCTTACTCTTAAATTACCTTCGGACTGCGAATACTGGCAAGGAGGGGGAGCAAAGAAGGATCGCGGGGCGCACCCGGATGCTTCGCGCCGCGCGCTTATAAAAGGACACCGGTCCGAACGTTCTGAATCTATTTCCTATATGCGCAGTTTAGACAACAGGCGTCACGGAAATCATTCCATCCCGCGCTATGCCGCAAAGCTCCATGAGAGTCGTAATCGTTACAGCTTCATTGCCCGGTAACGGGTTACTGTATCGCGCTGCATTCTGGGAGTTGTAATTTATTACCCTCTCGGTTTCGAGCGCTCAATGAGAAGGAGACGTTCCAAAGGACTTCGTCTCCCAAGATGCTATAGAACCACGTGGACGGAAGCGGGGACGGGACTAAAGTTAGTGAATGGAAGATGGCGGAGGGGACCGAGAAGCCAGCGGGTGTGCCAGCAGTTCCGGTGTCGTTCAGTTTTTCTCGATTAAGCGGACGGAAGCGGCTTCTCCATGTAACTGGGCAGGATGGCAGCGAAGCGAAACAGGAACCTGATTTCCTCTCCGCTATTGAAGGGAGAGAATTGCGAAGGTGAGGCGAGAGCATCGGGGGGCTGTTCGATTCGGATTAGACAGACAGATCTGTGGTGTGGAGGCGGCTTCGTGTCCTGGCTTGGCGATCTCTGTGTCTTAACTCTTTTGCAAGCTGGTGGGGTTGAATGTCCCCTCGTACGGAAATCCCTGCACATAGTTAGCTGCCATCTCAAGAAGATGGATTCTTCCCGGAGTGGCACTCTGTTGTGGAGGACTGTTTCAGTTTTATGTTAGAAAAGAGTATTCAATCGTGTGAGCTCCTGTTGGGAGAAGGTAGGCCAGATATGATGTCACTATTGTAGTGAGCATCACTTAGCTGCTGCCTAAGAGATCCTATAGGTTTAATTGCATCCCGTTGTATAGCCTGGACTTCTTCCTGCCAGATTGAGCTGCCCAAACATCTGTTATTATCTGTTGCTCAGATAAACCTCCAATCTATTTTTTAAAATTTTTATTTATCAAATTTGTCACTGCCCATCTCATTGAAATGACTCTGGGCGGTTTACAGCAAAGATAAAATTCATTAAAACACAATATAAAACAGTCCTAATAATAAATAAATAGCTTCCAAGAAAGATAGGGAATTGGCAGATAATCCAAGTCAGGACACTAACCACCCCCCAAGGATGGTTAGGGCCCATATTGTCTCATGCACACTGGCAGAGCCAGGTCTTTAATCCTTTCCAGAAGGCCGGGAGGTAGGGGCCTGCCGCACCTCTGGGGGGAGAATATTCCAAAAGGGTGGGGCAACAGCAGAGAAGGCTCTCCATCTGGGCCCTGCCAGCCAACATTCTCTCACTGACGGGGTCTGCAACATGCCCTCTCTGCCTGACGGGGTGGGACAAGTTGATGTAATGGGGATGAGACGGTCCCTCAGGTAACCTGGGCCCATGCCATGTAGGGCTTTAAAGGTGATAACCAACACCTTGAATTG